TCTTCTTCTTCTTCTTCTTGAAAATGAAAATGAACCACGCATTTATTTTTGTGCTCACCTTAGTCTCTACTGTTTTCAACACATTTTTTGGTATCCTGGTACAAGGTTTTTAATGCCAATGTCATAGAAGTCTGTCTTGAACCAGTCATTAGTACTGCAGTACATTATCAGTTTCACTTGTTTAGGTGCATGAACAGGTGGTAATCACTTGGTGCCATGTCGGGGCTGTAGAGCGGGTGGTCAACAATTTCCCAGTGAAATCTTTGCAACAATTCAACAGTTCTGTCTGTGCCGTGAGCTCGAAAATTATCGTGTAAAAGCACAATTCCACAACACAGTAACCTACGTCTTTTGTTTTGCATGGCACGTCTAGGACAGTAACCTACGTCTTTTGTTTTGCATGGCACGTCTAGGACAGTAACATACGTCTTTTGTTTTGCTTGGCACGTCTAGGACAGTAACATACGTCTTTTGTTTTGCATGGCACGTCTAGGACAGTAACCTACGTCTTTTGTTTTGCATGGCACGTCTAGGACAGTAACATACGTCTTTTGTTTTGCATGGCACGTCTAGGACAGTAACATACGTCTTTTGTTTTGCATGGCACGTCTAGGACAGTAACATACGTCTTTTGTTTTGCATGGCACGTCTAGGACAGTAACATACGTCTTTTGTTTTGCATGGCACGTCTAGGACAGTAACATACGTCTTTTGTTTTGCATGGCACGTCTAGGACAGTAACATACGTCTTTTGTTTTGCATGGCACGTCTAAGTTTTACGTGAGTTTCACAGTAAGCTTTGGCATTAAATATCCTTTCACGCTCAAGAAAATCAATCAACAAAACTTATTTCTTGTCCTAGAAAACAGTGGTCGTGCTCTTTTTGACAGCAAGTGCTTACTTCAACTTCTTTACTTTCAGGTCCCATGAGTGTCGCCACAGCATCAACTGTTGCTTTGATTCGATGTTTGTGTAGGAAGTCTAGGTGTCATCTAGACATGTGCCCCAAAAATGCATCTCCTTCATTCCGAAAGCGCTAAAAAATGTTCTGAGCCGAAGCCAGGCGTTTTTGCTTATGTTAACATTTTCGGTCCCCCTCTGACACACACTTTCTTTTTAAAATCCAAGGTTTCTTGTCAAAGTGCCGTAATTTGATGGACGTGAAATTTCCGAAAATTCGACAGACAACGCAGAAATTGTGAAACGACTGTTTTCTGAATTT